GTCCCCACACTGTCCCCACCCCGGGGGGAGCACACAGTGTCCCCACACTGTCCCCGTCCTGTGGGGAGCGCACAGTGTCCCCACACTGTCCCCACACTGTCCCCACCCCACAGCTCTGGGACAGAGTTTTGTTATTCCCGAGGCTGCAGCAGGGCCAGGGATGGGCAGCTGGGTTTGCTGCTCTCCCACGCTGCTCCCATCCCCAGGGATGTTGGATGGGAATTTTATTCACCCCGGCATGGATGGGGGGGAATAGGACATTCCTGGGTGATCCCAAACGAGGGATCTTAAAATTCCCTCCAGCTTCTTAAACTTGGGTGATGTGGGCAAAAAAAAAAAAGATGGATAGAAGTTTGCAAACGAGCTGGAAGAGCAGGTTGGGTTTGGGAAGTGTGGGAGGGCGTACCAGGGTGCATCCAGAGCATCCCCAGGCTGTATCCTCACCATCCCAGTGCCCAATCCACACCAGCTGCTCCCGTGCCAGCTACTGGATCCTGTCAATCTCAGGGCTTGACTCTGCACAAATTGTTCTGTTTTATGGGATTAATCCAGCTGGGAACAGCACTGGCAGCTTCCCGTGCACCTGGGCCAATGTGCACTGGTACCCAGCCCTGGCACAGCGCCCTGGCAGTGCCAGTGGTGCCAGTTGGATCCCCAGGGAATCCTGATCCCTTGGCAGGGGCACCAAGCTCAGGTGCACAGAGTTGTTGGAGCCCCAAACTCTTGACACAGGTGGCAGAAAACCCAGCTTGTCTTTCCCTGGACTCTCCTTTTGTAATTCATTCCTGCTGTTGGAAAATCTTAGCAAGAAGCTGGGGGAAAAAAATAAATGCCAAACATCAAAAGGCACCTTCTGAAATACCTTGGAGCCCTGGGAAGGAAGGGCCTTCCTGGGAAGGAAAATCTGAAATAATCCAGATTTTTTTCCATCATACAGGAGCTTCCAGGGGGAGGCAAGGTGGGGTCAGGGATTTCAGGGATTTTTCTGAGGGCTGGGGTTCCTTGGAGGGGAGCTGCAGCTCCCTGGGCTGGAGCAGAGCGGATCACTGCTACCTGCTGGCGTTGGCTCCGTGTGTTCCAGGGATTGTCCACTCCCTGCAGTGTCCCGTGGTGGGCAGGAGCTCTGCTGCCCTGTTCCTCCCAGGTTCTCTGTGAGAAAAAGATGGGGAATTGCATAAGTTATGGAGATGTGCTCACAAACATCACCCTGTGGGTATGGAGCTCACAATTCCATCTTTTATAGGAATCTTGGAGGCCTGGAATGATGTGGGTTGAGAGGGACCTTTAAGCTCATCCAATTCCACCCCTGCCATGGCAGGGACACCTCCCACTGTGCCAGGCTGCTCCAGCCCCAGTGTCCAGCCTGGCCTTGGGCACTGCCAGGGATCCAGGGGCAGCCACAGCTGCTCAGGGAATGTGTGCCAGTTTTACAGGGATGTTTGACTTTGCAGCATCTCGGTCCATGTAGGGATAATGTGATTGCAGGAAATGCCCTGGAGATCCTTCATCTAAATTAAATCAGTGTTTGCTGAGTGCTTGTGGATATCCACAGGCTGCAGGAACGGCTGGAATGTGGGAATGCCTCCAGCCTGGAATGGAGGCTGCATTGCCTCATCCCTGGCAGTGTCCCAGGCCGGGCTGGACAGGGCCTGGAGCAGCCTGGGACAGTGGAAGGGGTCCCTGGGCATGGCAGGGGGGGTTAGGTCACCTTTAAAGCCCCTTCCAACCCAAGCCAGTCTGGGATTCTGTTCCATGACTCCTGAGCATGGGATGCTGCACAATTCCGACCTTTTTAGCCTTTAAATCCGCCTGTCTGTCGGGACTGACAGATGGAGATCTAACTCCAGCCACCTTTTGTTATCCAGGACTTCAATCCCTTGGAGCTGGAACAAACCCGTCCAAGGGTTTTGTGCCTTTAATTCCCGGCCAGCTCCCGCCGGGTTCTAAATCAGCCCTGGCCACTCCGCCCCCTGAGCGAGCCGATATCCATCAGCACCTAATTACTGTTCCCGTTCATCCCACGGCGCCTTTCATCTCCAATTCCTCCTGATTCTCCCGATTTCCTCCCTCCCTGGAGCTGGCAGGGCCCACGCCCAAGAGCTGAGCAGTGGAGCAGTGTTTGGGGCTGGAATTTTGGCTGCCTTCATCACAGTTGATTCCTGCAATTCAATCCATCCCCTGTGCAGCTGTTCTTGTTTCCAAAACATTCCCTTTTTTATGTTTTTGGGAGCTCTGCTGTCGGTTTTAGGCGGTTTCCTGTGGATCTGTGCAGTCCAAGTAATTTTTTTCCTGCTTATTTTTACCGATATATATAAAATAGACACGTTTAGCAGTGGATATTCCCTGTCACTGATTAATTTAACATCTGCTCTAATCTACTCCAGTTCTGGCATTCCCAGGAAAAAGAGAGAAAAAGAACAACAAATCCCCTCTCCAAAGGTCTCCCAAATTCCCTCTCTGAAGGAAGGTGACCACACTGACTACAAGCAATTTTTAGAGGTGTATCTATAAAATTTACCTCCTCTTCAAAGTCCTAAATGCAGCCATGTCTAGAGGTGAACGTTCTGAATTGGGCACGCTGCTTGGAGCAGCTGTGGCTGCCCCAGCCCTGGAAGTGTCCCAGGCCGGGTTGGATGGGGCTTGGAGCAGCCTGGGACAGCAT